AAGTTGTATGAAATTTGTTTCGTAAAATTTCGTTGCTAAGACTTAATAGCTTACTGCTTATTTCAGGATGATTATTTAACGGTTCCATTAATGCTATTTTTTCCATATTTGCCATTAATACACCAACTACTAGTTGAGTACTAGTTCGTCCAATTCCACTTTTTGTGAGAGCTGCTGAACTCATGTCAAGTTTATACTTCCAATAAAGTTCATCAATAGATGCTTTTGGTAAATCGACGATGTTATTATCAGTCCAATATAATTCAGCACAAAGATCCATAACCTTTTGTTCCAACATTGATCGAACCTCATGCCTTACTTGGGGTTTTCCAAAAGAATGTGCAAAATTTTTAAAATTATGTTTAATGCTGTCAATGGTTTCAGCAACATATGATTCTGCCGTAATCCGTCTATAGAAAAAAAATAAATCAAATAAATATAAATAAATATATGCTTGTAACGCAAATATGCATATGTTATTGAGAATTAAACTTACCTATCATTATATTGCACTTTGAATTGATAGCGGGACTCTTCTAATTCTTTTTGTACTGCTCCAACGATAGAAAACAAGGATTTTGCCATGCCTTCCTCGAGTACCTCCATCAATTTCTTTCGTAAAGTACCAATGCCAACTTGGATGCCACGTTGACTGTACACATAATTACTTCGGAAAAATTGATCCTCGTGACGAATCAAAGCAGAAGTAATATTCTTTTTGTTTTTAATGCTTGCAGGAGGTTTACAGACAACACCAATATAGCCCAAATGTAAAGGATAATCAGTATTTCGCAAAATCGCAGCACCGATTTCAGGTTCCACTAGATCCATTTTAGTTATTACACCAAGGGTTCGCAAACCCAACGGATCAACTTTGCGACCAGCTTTTAATGCCTCGGAATTTGCCAAATCTACATCTGCCGCACACACAGCCAATATGATATTTGGTTCTCTAATATATTGTTCACATAACTCTACTATTTTGTCTTTTAAAGTTTCTGGTTGATTTTTGTTGCTGATTTGGATATAACCAGGCAAATCGATTAATGTCAAATCAGGAACATTTGATGAATAAATTCGAAGTTCAATTGGTTTGTTAGATACGCATTCAGATTCGGGCACAGCAAGATTGAGGTCACGTAGAGTTTGTTGAATGTGGGAAAAATCATGTATTTTTCCTAAACCTAACTGAGGGAATTCACCATATTCTTCTTTGGATTTAGGTGTGTGTATCAATGTAAGTTCAATCGGCCTTCGAGTTACCATATTGGATCCTCTATAAAAAGATAAATAAAATGTAAAAATAATATACGTGTATTGAATATAATGATATGTAAAATATATTTATGAAATATACTTTGGCAAAAATTCATGTCCAACGATAGCTTCGAGCACGGAACTTTTACCAGAGCTCTGACTTCCAATGACCACAATACTAGGTAATTTAAGCCCTTCCTCATGATCAATGCTCGTCAATATATTCCGAACCTCAATCAACTTTTTGGTGAGATTCATGAATTGATCATCCCGTGCCACGCCAGACTTTTTTCTAAGTGACTTTCCATCATCGTCGTCTTCGTCATCATCTTTCTCGCCACTCATAAATAAAGCAGCCGCAGCAGCGGCGGCGCCAGCAGCAGCAGCAGCACCACCACCATTCCCTGAAGGATCGGAAGGATCATCTTTTTTTATAAACCTAGGTTTATCAGAATCTATTTGATTTGATGATGGCGATAATGATGATCTTGAGTTTGTGGGAAAAATATCTGCTAAAAATTTAGGTACTTGTAATTCGACATCGAATTTTGATAATCCATCGGTGACAGTTCCAAAAACAGATTTAACCCCATCGGAAATAGATGACAATAAATCAGAACTCTTACTTGCCATAGCTGTTAGAAAAGAAATCATAGCGAATTAGGAATAATAAAAGATTCAAAAATTCGGATTATTGGAAAAAATTAGCTCTTAGCCTACCATTAAGTTTGTAATTAGCATAAGTCAAACCACCAACGCCAACAGTTACACCGGCAACAGGAATTCGCATGGCATGTAAAATGAATCTAGGAATAGTGGAAAATGCAAACGACCTTGCTTGAAGATCTTTCAACGCGAACAACTCCTGCCGTCGAACATGGGAGGGATAACGTTGATTAAGGCTGAATAAAAGTGGATTACTGGCGATATAAGGACGTGTTGAGTATAATGTTCTTAGACGAAGACATTTTTGCATGATGAAAAAAAATGAAGCTAAAATCGGCGAAGGACGAAACGTTTCGTCAAACGATGAAAGACGAAACCTTGACGAAAATTAAACACCCTGTCAAATAATCATCCTGAAATAAGCAGTAAGCTATTAAGTCTTAGCAACGAAATTTTACGAAACAAATTTCATACAACTT